GCCATTAAAACAAATAATTCAACGAAAACTGAATACGCTACCGTTTACATAAAATTCAGAACTTGAAAAACAATTTTTGACGTAAGCATTGATCAGATATTTTCGAGTCGTCGTCTCGCGCTATGACGTCATTCTCAAGTTCTTATTCCCCGATTTGAAAAACAATTTTTGACGTAAACATTGACCAGATATTTTCGAGTCGTCGTTCTCGCGCTATGACGTCATTCTCAAGTTCTTATTCCCCGTTTCATCGCATTCGCAAGGTTGTAATCATCGATACTTTCTCCTTCTCGTTTCAGTAGCGAAGATTAAAGAAAACTGTTGCTTTAATTTGGTTGGAACTGCACGTCACATGACTGCCCACACATGGGATTCAAACCGGCCATTTTGTCATCACTATTTTGTTACAAAATATTTTAGCAGCGGCCGCCGTGAAGAACCAGTAATTTATTTCTTTACATGCTGAACATACCAACTATACATACACAAATTAAAAGACATAAAAAAACGCATTTCAAGGTGAAAGGAGACGCCGAAAATCAATAACTATTTTCAGTACAATCTTCTATTCGAACATTTTCAGGGACGTTTCTAGTATTGAAATACGCACGCAGTCATTTTGTATAAAATTATTGTCCGCTTTGCCCTAAAATGCATGCGAAAACCATCTCCTAATGCTGGGGTTTTCAATACGCTTGGCGGGCCGCGTATTGAAAACCCCAGCATTAGGAGATGGTTTCCGCATGCATTTTAGGGCAAAGCGGACAATAATTCGATGAAACCAAGCTTTGCCATAAGTGAGATGATTGCGAAATCGTCGCGTCCTTTCGTTGATAGAAGCTTTATTGAAGAGTGTAAGTTGAAGGCTTGTGAAATAATTTTTTAACAATGAGAGTTAACAAATCAGCCTTTCGCACACGACTAACGGACGAGAGTTTGTATGCTGTCTAAAGACCAGCAAAACAACGCAAAATGAGACCAAACATCGAGTCTCACCGCTACAAAACGGTGCCAAATATCCAACACAAGTAAACGAATATGTTTCATGTCTCGCTTGGTGTAAGATTTAAGGGTAATTTCAACAAATATATTCAGATTTACTTAGTTCATTTTTGTATAACAATTTTGTATATAATTTGTTAGTTTGCGGTCCGCGTCGTCAATAAATTTCAAAAAGTGGCCCGCGACATATTTTGAGTTGGAGACCCCTGTCCTACTGAGTTATGTTTTCTAATCGGATGTTATCATTTTGTCGATTATATCGAGAAAAGGTTATAAAATACCTGAAACAGTTTTCTGGCAACTGTTCCATTGAAACTTGGCGAGTTACAGTGTTTACCATGGTCTTTATGCCATTGTGTTTACTTCATCCTATCGGCCGTGGTTCACTGGGACTTTATGCCCAAGTTTGTAAACATGTAGGCCCAGAGAATAAAGGCAAAAGGTCAACTCTTCTTCCTCATCTCTGCCTGATTTCCCTTCGAAATGCTAAAAAATCACTCATGTTCGCTAAACTCGGTCCAGCAGATAAACAAACTAAAGCGCACGAAACCCGTCGGGAACCGCTGCACTAGAATATATATATTTGAATAGGGCGATCAATCTTATCTGACTGCATTCAACGTCAACAACCTCAAACTGCCTAACATCGACTGTTTTTTTTTTTGTATGTCATTACTGGGATTTCGCTTTTGCTCAATGTAGACTCCGGGTGCTATTATAGCGGGAGACCAGTGGCGTATCTAGGGTGTGGCAGCCATGGCTCGTGCCATGGGCGCCGTTTGACCAGGGGCGCAAAAACGGCGAAAAGTATCAATATTAAAAACGTTTCAATGAAATAATTCAAAATTGGAAATAACTGAAACTCGTATTTTTACTCAAATAATAACGTATAAGTATCTCGATTCAATAATAGTCATTATAAATCGCCAAACAACTATCAAGGGGGCGCATTTTTAGACTTTGCCATGGCCGCCATTTTTTGTAGATACGCCACTGCGGGAGACCTACCCTCGAGTTTTGTCCCATTATTTTTATCGCGGGCTAGGGGGACTTGATCTCTCATTTATCATAAGGCTTTTAAATAATTTGTCCAATATTTGAAATCTAAACCAGCGGTACTCAACCGAACTGCTTGCAGCACAATGTTAATCATAGGATAGGATAGGATAGGATTTACATATTTATCCCGGGGGAGAGGAAAGCGATAAGACGGCTTATCCATATGGCGAACCACGGCCTCTCGTCCGGTTACCATTCCAAGTCGGGTATGGGATTAGTTTTTTACTGTATTGTTTGTTTTCGGAAGCATGGACTTGGTGGTGGAGGAAGCCGTAACCGACCAGCGGTTACGTGAACCACCCAACGACGGCGAGGAGTCCAGCAATCCTCTCGCACATAACCAACCTTCATGGGATTCGAACCTGCGAACCCACGCAGAGTAATTAGAGGTGCGGTGGCGAGCGTATTCCTAACGCTTAGCCCGTTGAGCCACACCGCCGCGCATCATCTTATCATCATCTTTACAATCATAAACAAGAGAACTGTGCTCAAATATATGGACACGTCACAAGGTGTCTTTATTCTGACACATAAAAAACGAATCTCTTGAAGTCCACAGAAATTTTTGAAATGAGTAAAAGTAATAGCCTTCTTGTAGTGTCTCGCCTCTATCTTCAATGTTCCTTATCTTGCTAAGGTTTCACCAAGGCAACACACGATATTTGCACACAAAATAAGAGGCTTTTACTGCTACAATTCAGTATGCACAAAAGTAACTGACACAACTTAATAAACAGCGAATAACACCATACAATAGAACCAGCACCAGCCACGCCGTCAATGTCCTTCTGCTCTCCTCGGCATGTATCCTTGCGCATTTATATCGCGCAGGACTAAATCAATCATGCAATTCATGACCATCGAACCATGAACACTACACTTCTGGCAAAAAAATCAATCTTTAACCACTAAAAATTTCAAAGCAATTGGTCCAGTATTCGAAGAGAAAAGCGATATCATCATGACGAAAAAGAAGAATAATACTAACAACATAACATTGAAACGATCGTTATGTACACTGACGTGTCTAATAACCCGTTTGAAATTTTGATGGCGATTATTTTCGTTTTCATAGTAATGCCTAGCCTGAATTCTTAAAATGATTTTAATATAAGCCCTCCCCTAAAGAATAAGACCTGGTTGATAGCGCAAGTTTTTTTTTTAAATAAAAATGTATTATTTCCAAGTAAACGGATATCGGTTTTCGCATTTTATATATATATAAATGTAAAAATCTCGTAATTCTGTATTTTGTAATTTTGTTTTTGCTAAATGTAAATAAAATACATCCCCCCAAAATAAGCCCTACGCCAGTTTATTTGGGTTTCCTTTAAATTATTACATGTAACACTCTAATGAGTCTAATCAACTCGCTCATGCGTGTAACCTTTTTTCCCGTCGCGCTCTTCGAGCGCGTTCTGCTATTTCTAATCATTCCTTGTTAAGGTCCTTAAAAGTCTGTTGTTGTTTACATTTAATATTATTTGTCACAACACTTGTGTGATGTATTCGTGAAGGATTGTGGCAGGATCTATTAATATACTTCCATACTGGCGTGGTGGCAGCGATACGGAGAGAATCCATTGCCTTCGATATCCGGCTAATGCCCGAAGATATCGATAAAGTAATTCATCACGGCAAAGAAACTTGAAATGAGACCCTGCTTTATTTTCGGGGAAAAACGGTATGATTTTGGAAATAAAATAATCTAAGGTTTTACCTGACAAAAATGAACGCTTATTTGCCAGACAGTTTGCACTAAAATACCTATGTACTACAATATTATTTTCGCTATAATTATGACTTTTTCGGAAATGCGCACCGCCCCTCCCTCTCCTCCGTTTTTTCGCCTCCTATTGCGTCGCTCTTAAAAAAAAAAGTTAGATATTGAACCTCGGTGTCGCTGCTCGATAACCATTCCTGGTTCCCGGCGACTTTTCTCCCTGACGGTTTTTCAGCCTCCGGCCTGACCCGCTAACTATCTAACGTAATTTCCTTAAAAAATAAAGTTAGTATTGAACCTCGGGTGTCACTGCTCGATAACCATTCCTGGTTCCCCGCGACTTCCCTTTCCCCAGGTTTTTCACGCGTTTTAGCAGGGTTATTGGTGTTTTTTGACGGTTTTTCACTGTTTTAAAGCGTTTTAGCAGGGTTATTGGTGTTTTTGACGGTTTTCACTGTTTTTAAGCGTTTTAGCAGGGTTCTTGGTGTTTTTTGACGGTTTTTAACTGTTTTTAAGCGTTTTAGCAGGGTTCTTGGTGTTTTTTGACGGTTTTCCAGCCTCCGGCCTGACCCGCTAACTATCTAACGTAATTTCCTTAAAAAATAAAGTTAGTATTGAACCTCGGGTGTCACTGCCCGATAACCATTCCTGGTTCCCCGCGACTTCCCTTCCCCAGTAAAAATGCGTTTTCAGTTTTGTATTTTGTTAATTTCGTATGTTATTTTTTACTGAATGGGAAAAAATAAACTTGACTATGACTATCTTCCCACTTTGATAATCACTGGTGCAATAGTAGGATTTACTTATTTATCCGGGGGTGAGTAAAGGCAATAGGACGGCTTAATCATATGACGAACCCCGGCCTCTAGTGCGGTTACCAGTCCAGGTCCGGGTATGGGATGAGTTAGCCAGGTATTGATTGATGCATAGATTGATGGTGGAGGAAGCCGTAACCGAATAGCGCTTACGTCAACAAACTTACGGCGGCGAGGAGTCCAGCAATCCTCTCGCACATAACTACTATTCCCGCAACCGAACCTGCGAACCCGCGCAGGGTAATCAGAGGTGCGGTGGCGAGCGTATGCCTAACGCTTAGCACATAGCGCCGAGTTCACTTTTTCCCACTTTGATAATCACTGATGTTAAAGTACATGATAGTGAGTTGAAAATCTTAACGCGTCTTTCCTACATCAAGATAACCAAGGACTACAAATTATATTTGCGATCTTATTTATTAGCAGAAAAAAATAGGAAATGTTTCCTATAATCAAAAAAATGCCTACCCAGTACGCTCTTATATTTAAAATTTCAAAGAAATGAATATATACAATCCAAAAACCATTTTTGTGCAAAATACTGGATTTTAACACGAGATCGAACTGGTAAAAAGAAAAAAAGTCATTTTCATTAAAAGTGAAAAAATTGCACGTCTGACGTCACAATTAGGAACAAAGCTGTCTTAAAATGAATAATGATTTCATAATCATTAGCGACAGCAATAACAGTCAAAACTACAAGAAAAATTTAGCAAATTTTAATGGGATTTCCAAGTTGTATCTAATCTAAAACAAACTGGAAATTCAAGCTGAGAGGCGCCCGTTTTGTCCAGTTGCAAGCAATACTTGAAAATGCTTTAAATTTACTCTATTTTATGTTGTAGTGTGATTTTCAATATATGTACAATATATACAAAATGACTTGAGGCAGCATTAGGAATTGCTACAAGACATCTTATCTGATTCCGTGAATACAGGATATTTATCATGGAAAGAGGGTTCTAACAGAATCCTGATCTTGGCCCACCCAGTCTAATTAGCTTTTTACCTTGGTTATCAAACGTTAGATATTATTACATTCTGGTTTTATGGCAATCCAAACCAACCTAACCTAAACAAAATTAAAGGAAACAGATTGATAGGCCAATAACCTCAACCTAACGGAATAAATATGTAAATCCTATCCAATAACCAGAGTCAAAAAAAAATAAATCAGAAATAAAGTCTTGACTGATAACAAGATAAAGTCCGTTTACAACTTCAATTGTTATGAAGTCATTTCTCAGTATATCTCACCAGGTTTATTGTTTTTTAATTAATTATTGTTCAAGTATTTTTACTTCATTTATTACATCCGTGAGGGCCAATATAGGGTATCGGTAAATTCCTGGCAATTTCAAAAATTCTCAAGACTTCATGGACACCCTATATCTTATAGAATGAGGCCTACAGGAAGGAAATAGCTAACAAGTTAATGTTTCGAAATTTGAAGACTTATTTATTGAAAAGTAACACTTTTTCATACCCCATCTCAGAAAATATTCAATACACCAATGTTGACAGCAGCAAAATTGTGTCCGCCCCATAAGAAAAGAAAACAAAAACTCTGTTTATAGAATGATTTTGGTCCAAAGACTTGCAACAAAGCATAAAAGCATGATTCAAAGCAGCAAAAAAGAATAAAAATAATAGGTAAAAAGAGCAAAAAAAGTCATCAATAAATTTGTTGGGATTTCACTCTGGGAGAAGAAAGCTGATGATAATTCCCGTTTCAGTTGCAGAGTAGAAAACTAATTACCGAGATAGCACACATTGAGTTAACTGGCTCACTTGGGAGAAGGTCAACGGGGAATTCCCCCTCAAAGCCTGAAAATTTATTGGTACATCATATTTTGTATATATGACGACAAGCCCTTTATTACATCATATGATGTCATAACAAAGACATATGGGAAGATAATTAAGAACCTTGCAGCACAATCAATCTAAGTTATTATTACATCACATTATGTAAATTGTCTTTGAAAAAATAGATATTAAAGAGCAAAAAATTGTGGAATGACGAAATTTTATCAGGTGTTTAAGATTCAGTACCATGCGGCAATAAGAAACAAACAAGCGTAAAAACTTTATAATTAAATGAGTTGAAAGAAAGAAATATTAAAAACAAAATGATTTATGTACATTTCGAAAAAAAAAAAAATTGACTTCATGGGCTTTGAAGAGTACGTCAATTATTTAAAAAAGACAGTGCTTTAGCTGTTTCTAATGTATGATTGAGATAGTTTGAGCATAAAATTGTATATTTTTTTCACAATTATATTTCACAATTTCACAATTATACTTGGGTCCGAGGGAGAGGAAAGCCTATAAGATAATTAGATTCTCCCGTCAAAATTTGTCAAATGATTTTATATCTATGCAGGAGGAGAGGAAAGCTGATAAAACAGCTGAAGCCTCTCATTAAATTCCAAATAGCCAGCAATCCAAATACATGGAGTAATATTGAAATACAAATGCTTGCTTCATTTACTCAATTTATCATATCACGCTTCATTTAACATCGACACGCTTCAATGGAGATTTAAATATGATTTGCAGCATTGAAATTGATACACATTAGAATTTTTGCCTGCCCAAATAAAACGAGTAAACATGTTTTGTGCAAAAAAGCTGTCACAAAAAATTTGAACTAATTATCAGTGGCCGACATCAATTTTGTGCAACTTATTTAAAATATCACAGCACCGAACTGGGTATGAAACCTCCAGAACCATTTGGGTTATCACAAATAAAATGAAAAATAAAAGTACCATCAAAGTTTTGGAAAACTTTTTGCAACAATAAAAAGCAAAATGTTAAATGTAATTCAATAATCAATGTAACAGGTGATATATTTAGTTTAAAAAACACAGTTTCGGGCCTAAGAGAGGATAAATGGTCTGGTTCCTAACAGCAAAATAGAAACAAGTCAAATCCTATTCACTTCACTAGTTGCCAAATGCTAATAAGTAAATCAATGAAGCATAAAACTACATAACTGTTACATTCCTTTTGGAACAGAATTATTCTGGCCAGTTATGGTCTGCTGATCACCACTAATTCCTATTTGAAAGAAGATTACTCTGGCCAGTCACGGTCCATTGATTACCAATAGTGTTCATTTTTGAAAAGAGAATATTCTGGCTAGTTATGGTCTATTGACTCCCAGTAGTGTTACTTTTTGGAAGAGGATTATTCTGGCCAGTCATGGTCTGTTGATTACCAATAATGTTCATTTCTGAAAGAGGATTATTCTGTCAAGTCATGGCCTGTTGACTATCCATAGTGTTTCTTTTTGAAAGAGGATTATTCTGGCCAGTCGTGGTCCACTGACTCCCAGTGGTGAAAAATTCTGAGTGGCAGAATTTGGACCAGACCTTACACATATACTAATTGGCTCATTAGACATTACATGACAAATTAAGTAAGGGTTATTATTGTGTCATGGTACAAGTGAAAAATTCTTTAATTATATTATTTAAAATCCATGAAAATTAACCCTTACCTTACTAAGGGGTGTGATAAAAGACTTGAAAGAAAAACGAACCATAAAAAGTTGTAAAGCATTTCATTAATGTATACAATATCATATTAGCAAGTCAATTCAAGAAATAAATAAAATAGACAGCTTCGAAATTTAAAAGTACCGTCGTAATAAAGAAATAAAAATTGATTAACGAGAGGATGAATGATTCTTCTTCGTAGTACTGTTGTGGAATGTTTCCATAGTTGAACTCTGAAATAGAAAAGATGAAGATTATTTTAAACATCATCCTTGCTAGTACATTCTAGAAATTATAAAAGTGTTTGGGATAGATAGGATTGTTTGTTCTCATTGTGGTTTGAAGGAAGTTTGTACGCCCAGTGATAAAGAAAATATGAGACCAAAAATATAAATTTCTAAACTATTGTTTGATGTAGTGTTTTGTAAACTGAAATAGTCCAAACATATTGCAATGGGTTAAAATGAATGAACAACAGTCCTACATCTGTATAATAACATTATTGATAATTTTTTTTTAAAGAGGGGGTACGGTTAGAGTTAAGTTAGATGTTATAGCGGTGAAAGATTTGGTTAGCTGAAATAGGTAACACGGAATACGACGCACATATTTAATGTGTAAATGGAAGACAGCCCGAATATAGGTAATACTTGACATCGGAGTATATATTCAATTTCAAAACTTATCAAACTTTAAACAACACTATAATTGTGCATTACAACGTAAAACAAATTACAGAATTATACAATATGTAGTAAGACCAAAACATAAGATAAAAAATATATAAACTGTTTTGCGTAAAAATACACTTTTCCTCCTATTTTGTTATCATATATCATGGGATTTTTAGTTTATTCTAGAGGAGAAATGCCCAACCGTAATAGTTTAAGCGGTGCCACAATGCTTGCGCAAAACTGTTTTCATTTTGTTGAGCATGAATTGTCTGATCATAATGCGATTTGGAATCTACCAATCAAAATACCACTGGAATGATAACTGGGGGCCATGAGTGCCAAAAGCCTCCGGAAGGGGGCCACGAGCCTGAAAGGTTGGGAACCATTCTTCTAGTAACTCCAGCATCGTTACAGGAGTAGTTAATCAATTCAGCTGTTCCAAATACAAGGATTCGCCAGTTTTGATAAGGTGAATACTGAATCTTCAAAAATTTGAATTGAATATGATATAAATTCTGACTATAACTGTTACAGATTGCCCCCTATGATTGGGATGTTAGCAGGAAAAGTAAAAGCCTAAGTTCAAATCATGTTTGTGTATCCAGGGTGCTATAAAATAAGGCAGGTGATGCAAAACAGGGAAAAAAACTTTGATCTCAAAGTATCTGTGTTTATGAGTTTTATTTGGGACAGATTCTGAATTTTTCAGCGCAATGGTAAATTAAACAAAAAACATTTTAACATACACCACAAACATTTGTATAAGGAGACATACTAACAACACAATAAGACAAGAAATTATAAACAGCCACTACGAATCGATGAAATCCTGCACCAAAAAGGTTGTTACAGACGCTTAAAATAAAGTACAATCCCCTAGCGCAAATGCTCGGAATTAAGAAGAAAACAGCTCAAACGACACTGTTCATATTTTGAAGTATCGGGAAGTAGCAGAAGACAATATAGTTGTATCTTGAAAGCTTATACCTCAAGGATCTAATTTTAACTGATGTCATATTTATTTTAGAAAGTGCATGAAACTTTTTTGATAACTTTTGTGAATACTATGTATCTATATTTTGATATGTATAATTGTGTTTGGACATTCACTTTTTGGGCATCGCTTGATGAAATTAGAATTTATGAAATTTTATTGTTTAATTTGTTTATGAGCTTGGAACAGGCTTCATCTAGTAGGCGTTGTTAAAAATACTTGATCTTTCATGTACAGTAAAACTTAACAAACGTTGCACAACCTGGTGTGTATAGTCCCGCATTCTTTCTAAATTTGCACCGAAAAAAAATAATCGATTTAATGCATATTTGTCTTATAAAATTTTAAATTGTGTTCTGATTGAATAAAAGTATTCTTTATTTGATGGTTGGGCTAAGATATCCAATATTTATTCTGGGAAGAGACAACCAAATTAAAATGTATTATTATATGGTAGGTTACATTTTGAGTATGCGATTAGTTTAACAGATCATCAGTTGAAATGAATTAACTTGGCTATAACTTTAATCAAAAATGGGAAAGACTTGATCTACACTAGTATGGATTTTTGTGTGAAAATGAACTACTCTCTACAAATGAGACTCCCTATTCATTACAAGACTCACCAAAACACAAACGAAACGAAGAAAAAACTTAAATTACTGCACAAAATTGGGGTTTATGGACTTATTTCACATTTATTATATTAACTACGGAAGATATTCATGCCTACTTGAACTCAGCAATGACCACAACACAAACTATTTTTTACTAAATAATTTTAACCACATTTTTACGCACATACTGACAAAATAATTGACACTATATATTTCATCACGACACTACATTATATCCATGTTGGACATTGAATAACAGACCTAACTCGCCTTCACTTTTTCGTCACTGTATGTCACCAGAGAGGCATATTCTCCGACTAACTCAAATTTAACTGAGGGAAAATGAAAAATAAACATAGTAAGTATTCTGAAATGATGCCAAATACATCCAATCACAGATTCGTGGCAGAATAATTAAATCTGATTTAGGGTTGAAACATTCTGCCAAGGAAAGTATCTAGCAGAAAGCTTTAATTATTCATTCATGTATATACATTATGGCCGTTCGGTTATTCCCAATAATTTAGAAAATATCAAAGCAAGTACAAGCAGAACTGTTAGGATGCAAACGATATAAGATTCCAAATTCTGAATTGCCTTGCATACACATTTCAAAACAGAGCAATGAATATTGAAATTGAATTGAAAAGACCACAATTTTTAGACATCTAATCAATATAATCTTATCTATAAGAATATCTTATCTGTTCTATCAATCAAAGATAAAGAGGGAAGATAAGAAATATCACTGGACAGAGACTTGATAAAGGTTATATCGTTCGGTTCTACCAGTTATGCATGTACGCAGTGTGAAATATTTGCAACCATTTGCTGTTCAACGACAACATTATCTTGAAGTTGTGAGACTTACCATAGTTAAATTTATTGGAATGTGGTTACACTGGAACAAATTCATAAATCAGTATGGTCTGCTTTGCTCCTTTGGTCTCTTCAACTGGACTTTAAGTCTTTTCATTCCGATCTGGAATCCGTTCATGGTCTGGATTGCAGTCTGAGCACTGACTGGATTGTCGTAACTTACAAATCCTGGAAAAAAGAGTTTGATAAGTTCACTTACGAGAAACAGTATACACAATAATTATCACGGTGAACGATAAAATAATTGAAATAAAAACTTTGTTAGAAGAAGAAATACTTTGAACTTTGTTAGAATTGCTCCAAATAATAGTTTCAGGGAAAGTGTTTTTCTGCTACTGTAACCTGTCCCCACCCCCCAAATTTTCCACATTTTTTAAATGCAATTTTGCGGCATTTGCAGTGTGACATTCCTATGCCTTCGCTAGCACCATTTTACTCAAGCGGTGTAAGTGAGTAAGCAAGCGGAAATACATCATTATACAGTACACAAAAGAATTGCCCCCCCACCCACCTCCAATTTTGGGCTGGCAACGCTCTTGACCAGATGAGGTCATGAGTCTGGGGTTTGAAAAAAAGATTTGAAAAATCCTTACCAAAACACTTGCTCTGGTTCGTTGCTCTATCAATGAACACTTTTGCAGAAATAACATTTCCGAAAGGTTGGAAAACATTTGCAAGATCAGCGTCCGTGAACTCTTGTGGAAGATGGTAAATGAAAAGATTGCAACCTTCCGGACCTACAGATGAAAAATATCAGATTATACATTTTTATGCGACTTATTGTACACCTTTAACTCTGAACAAGTCTCTGTATAGGAATTTACTGATAACCACTTCATTTTTATGAGGACCGGATTGTTTCCAGGTCAGCATTGCCAACTACAATTTCTTGCAATCTTTGAAAAGAGAATTCTTTTAGGAAATATTTAACCAAATAATTAAGAATACCGTAAAATTAACCTAATAAATTAAGAATAATTTTCTATAATAAGTAACTTTGTATTTTTCTTGAAGTTAATAAATCAATTAAATGACGAAAGCTCAATTAAATGACAAACCCCTGACTATTGGCGAAAAAGTCAGATTAATAGCCAAAATGGAGAAATGAAATTTATATTATATTACAGGCAATAATCAAATCACTATCCTTGAAATAGTGGCACAGCGCAAGTGTAGCAAAGTATGCCAAAAAGAGAATACCATAAGGGACATGGCCAAATAACACAACTAGTAAAGTGCAAAAAATATAGGTTTATCTCTAAACCAAAACCAATTTTACCCACCTTCTTTCTGTGGTGCAGTCGGGCTGCTGATGACAGCTGGTGCGGCTTGAGTGGGTGTAATTGGGGTCAGTGGGGGCTGAGCAATGTGTTGGGGGGCTGGTACTTGAGCGTATTGTCCTGGTGGCACATACACAACTGTAAAATAAAAAAGATATGAAATAATGATACAAAGCAGTGGTTCTCCAACGGTGGGGCCCCACACAAGGGGCGTAAATAATTTTTTGAGGGGGACGAGAAGTTGACTAAAAGATTTAGAGATAAAATCATAATTTTTGGATTTACACTGGCATACAGCAAGATGAGCATATCTGTACCAAGTTTCCTTAAAAATAGAACAGGTTCGTATTTCAATTTTCTTTCAAAAATAACACTAGGGCTACTTTTTAGGGGATGTCTTTTATTTTCATTTATTGAAAACAAAATTGCAAAGTAGAGAATTGAAAAACACGTTTTTATTTATTGCGCTATCCTCTCCAGGCCTCATTCAAGGAGGCGGCTCTTGATATAATAATTCATAAAATTCAGGCCAGGGTTATTTCCAGGGAAACATGATAGTACCGAGCAAGTTGGTAGTTTTGCAACTTTTTTATCAGTACCCATTTTAGTAACTCCTTGCTTTGAGTAAACTTGCAACGCTTAGCAAAGGACCCGAAATCTTGCTTTAAAAAAACTTGTATAGGAGGATTTACATATTTATCCCGGGGGGAGAGGAAAGTAAATAAGACGACTTAACCATATGGCCAACCACGGCCTCTCGTCCCGTTACCATTCCATGCCGGGTATGGGATTTGTTTACCCTGCATGGGATTCAAAACTGCGAACCAAGACTGAGCCGAGCCTTACTTAGGCCACCTTATCGCGGCGGTGTGGCTCATCATGCTAAGCGTATAGGAATACACTCGCCACCACACCTCTGATTACTATGCGTGGGTTCGCAGGTTCGAATCCCATGCAGGGATAGTTATGTGCAAGAGGATTGCTGGACTCCTCGCCGTCGTAGGGTGGTTCACGTCACTCTGGTCGGTTACTGCTTCCTCAACCATTAAGTCCATGCTTCCGAAAACAAATAACTCACTACTTATACATGACATGGAATGGTAACCGGACGAGAGGCCGTGGTTCGCCATATGGTTAGGCCGTCTTATATCCTTTCCTCTCCCCCGGGATAAATAGGTAAATCCTATCCTACTTTGAGAAAGCATGTGCAAAACAAATCATACCTGTGTATGGTTGTGCGTAGCTTGGTGGCTGCATCATCTCCATGGTTGGTGGAGTTTGAGCTGAAAATTAAATTAAAATTGATTAAATTGATGAATAATTTAGAATACAGACATGAGTCATCGTTGGGATTTTAGTAATGCATGGAAGAAGAATTCATGGCTGATCAGTAATGTGAAATTGTGGGGAAAAAGATAAAACCATGCTGTTGTTGTTGTTGTTGTTGACAACCATTAACACTACAGAAGAGGAAAGAGGATAATATGGTTTAATCATATGCCGAACCAAGGCCTCTTGTCTGGTCGCCAGTCCATGTCGGGTATGGGGTTAGTTAGTTAATTGTTGTCATAAGCATGAACTTGATCATGGAAGAAACCGGTTATGTGAACCACCCATATAATGATGTTTCATATAAATTTACACTTGTGTACTAAACCCTATCAAGGCATTGAGTACATTTTCACTCACAGCATAGTTTCTGAACTATAAGATACAAACATTGACTGCAAGCATAATCCGTGTCATGTGAAACCAAACACTGAGTAATGTACTCAAATAATAATTCAAAATATCATGAAACTAATGTTTGTGACAATTCGGATCAAAAACAAGGATATATTGCTAAACATGATCATGGGCACATAAAAAAAGCAGGAATAACCCAATTAGTAATATAAAATATCAGTAAAATAAAGGGCAAAATCAGGTTAATAAATTATTAACGAACACCATTAGGTGTCCAATGTTTTTAGTCAATACATTTAACTTTGCATAGTAAATTTCTTTTTGTATCAATTCAAAACTTTAGGAACCGAAGAACTTTATGGTTTTGATTGAACCTACTCTTTCAATAAAATATTGAATGATATTCTGTAATCTCCAATTTCTCCAAAAATAAGGAAATAGTATTAAAGTGTGGTGTAAGAAAGGAATGAATACTCAGACCACAAGAATTGGGATGGGCACTGAGGTAGATATTTATGACTGAGAGCATGAAATCATGATTTTAAAATATCATACCACCAAAACAACTCTAGTAATGGTAGCACATTTTAAAGTGTCCTGGAGGTACATACACAACTGTAAAAAATAGGAGATATGAAATATTAATAGAAAAGGGTTTTGACACTTTGATTCCAAACAAGCTTGCAAGGCATTTTCTTTTGTTTTCATGCTTTCAGTAAGTAAAATCAAACCCTGTGCCCACCATGCCCTTCTTGGGCAAACGGGGGAGAACGACACAATGTCCCACCCGTCCGTCCGCTATTGGAAGAGTATGTTTAGTACATAGATACAAACATTCATTGATTGAAATTACAACATGTTCATTCAATACAACAGCGCAAGATGTGAAATGATCATGGTTATGGTTACAAGACATTCAGATTTTAGTCAAGAAGTAAAGAAACTTTAAAGTTGACTGTTTGCTTCAAATGTCACTTAAAAGCAGTAGAGATATAGCAATATTACCAAATTGAACATAGATCAGAAACAAATTTTTGATTTCTGAATTATTATATTATATTTATTGTAATAAGGATAATGGTATGATTCATTTACAAAGAGTTTGAAGAAACTTGCTAACTTTGAATTTGAGCATGCAATTTTTAAAAAGTGAACTGGCTTTTGAAATGAATGGGCGTTCTAGATAGTAAATTGTGGCAACAGTCAATTTTGATTGAAATTCATGATCATCACAGTAAGTTACAAATTTGAATTCAATATTTTGATTTCCAATAAGAATCGAATTGAGTTGCTTAAATTATAAAATATGGCAACAGTAACAATGATTAGACTGTCATCAACAGAGAGTACAATGAATTGACTACCGGTAGACATTTTGTTAGATGGAAAATACACTTACATGCACAAATACTGACAGTGTCAGGGGATCCATTTTGCACATTCATGCTATGAGCACTTGCGGTGGTCACAGGGGCTAGCCTAGTACCTGGGTAGGCCTGTAAAGGATAAAGAGCTTCTTGTGGGGTTGCCAGTCCGTTGGCTTGGGAGACAATAGGTGGTGGAACGAGATTCAAAGTTGTGATGGATGCAACAGGACTTTGCGGAGTGCTTGGAATTCCTGCGATTTGAGTTGGACCTGAAACAATGGAAAGTAATGGTTTAAGCGTTAGAATTGTGTTGGCATTACAAAGTGAGGTGCTCCCGAAGTATGTGTATCAAGACAGCCTGAACATAGTATGTGTACCAAGATAGGTTTGCTCAGGTTGTGCGTCATCTTGGTACGAATACTTCCGGAGCGCCCAAAGTAAATATCTGGAAGTCAAATTTCTTGACCACCGCGCCTCACCCGGGGTGTAATAAATTGATTGGCAATGCCAAACCAAACGATCTCTGTTCCTACAAAAATAAAGGCTCCTTGTACGGGATCTGAGGAAATGACTTGAATGAGCGCTATAAAAATAGTTAGCTTTGTTGGAATGGAATCGTCTAAATTTAACTGATACGCTAACTTTTGTGTTATTAGATAAGCCAAATTGGATTTTCATTTTTCATATTTATTCTTTAGGAGAGAAAAGACAACGAGATGGCTTAATCTTTTATCAAACCTCGTCTGGTTACCAGTTCATGTTGGATATGGGAATTATTAACCAGTTATTTGTTTCAGATACGTAGACTTCTAGATAAACTATATCTATCTAAGGGCAGAGGAAAGTTGATAAGACGGCTTAATCATATGGCGAACCACGACCTCTCGTCCGACCACCAGTCTGTGTCCAGTATAAAAATAGCTAACCAGTTACTTGTTTCAAATGCATGGACTTGGTAAATAAACCCTATTTATTTATTTCTATGCCAATAAAAAAAAGTAGAAGCCTCTTATAGTATAGGCACGGCGGTGTGGCTCCTCGTGCTAAGCGATAAGAATACGCTCGTCACAGCACCTCTAATTACTCTGCATGGGTTGGCAGGTTCGAGTCGATTATGTGCGAGAAGATTGCTGGACTCCTCGTCGCTGTAGGGTGGTTCACGTAACCGCTGGTCGGTTACGGCTTCCTCCACCATCAAGTCCATGCTTCCGAAAACAAATACCGGTAACTAACTAATCCCGTACCAGACATGGAATGGTAACCGGACGAGAGTCCATGGTTCGCCATATGGTTAAGCCGTCTTATCGGCTTTTCTTTCCCCCGAATAAATATATAAATCCTATCCTATCCTAGTAATACACTTACCATTGGCAGTTTGCATTACAGATCCATGGGTGAGATGGCCCAGCTGTGTGGCAGTTGTAAGGGCTGTGGCAACAGGAGACCAACCAGCAGTAGGCATGACTCCGGGGGCAGCGACTATAGGGTGTTGAGCCATCTGTAAAATAAATTTATAATTTTTTTAATTTTATTTAAACTAGGACTGGTATCAGGAACTTCTTTCTATTAACTTTTTCCTATAATGCAGTTGTTCCCAATCTTTTCGATATGTTTTTCTCACACACTCTGGCTTTTGTTAAGTTTGAATATCTTATAATGTGTGCTTAAATATGTATTACAAGGCGCTCCCGTAGTATTCGTACCAAGATGGTGCACAACCTGAACCCTAACCTGGTACACATACTATGTTCAGGATGTGCGTCATTTTGGTGCACATACTTCTGGAGGTCGTATTACAATAATGTTAAACAAAATTAATAAAGTTTCATCATTTAGAATAAAATCTAATATGATTAAATAATGAATAAATAATAAGCAAAAATTTCAAATTTCTCTTCAAATAAACAAGAAATATATTTGTAATTTAGACTTCTATGCTAGAATAATAAACAAGGTTGACGTTATACAGCAGTCAGGGACACACTACAGAAGAAATATGCCATGCTGTTTGCCTATGTTTCACCGTACTGAATAATTTATGCGAGAATTCTTCGTAGCTAAACAAAGGCCTTTTGAAACTGCATGCTCGAGTTACTTTTAAATTCAATTACGAAGCCATGATCCATATGGTTTTGCCAAGATGGCTAATGTAATAAAATTAAAATTTAATGGAAATTGAAACTTTAAAAAGGAGAAATTACAAGATAAATAAGACATTAGGGAGTATTTTTCAGCTGCTTTTTTTAGAATAAATATATTTTCGAAAATTTTTTACTGTAATGGATACCATACAGACGCAATACCTCATTGCTCATCAGCCCTACATCATGACTAAAATGATGAAAGTACTCTGACATTTGGGCATTATGACAGAATACTATAAGATCATATTTGTTTGTATTTTTCAGTGATCGTCGGTAACTTTTCCGAAAAATTTTCAATCAAGAGTGAATGCTGGAATCTTGCTCTGAGCAAATTCTCTCAAATAAATGCCCCCCTTGCAAAATCTGCATACCTCACTGCTTTATATAGGGTGTCCTTGAAGTCTTGAAGAAATTTAAAATTGCAAAAGTAATTTATCAACATCATGTATTGTTTTGGTAAAAATTCTCAAACAATCACTGACTAAAATAATAAACCTGGTTAAGATATATTGAAGAATGAAGCAAAAATACTTAAACAATTACTGATTGAAAAAAAAAACCTGGTTAAGATATATTGAGAACTGACTCTATAACAAAATTGAAATTGTTAATAGACTTTATCGACACCCTGTATATCATTTGCCTGCTCTTACTTTATTTAAACTGATTAGACTACAGATCGCAAAGCATTCGTTTTACCTGTGGCAAGGGGGTTCCATATGGTCCAAGTTGCAGAGTCACTGGGCTAATCAAGCCGTAGTTCTGAGCCATTTGCTGCATTTTTCTAATCGCTCTTTCCTTGTCTGTGTCAGCAAGTTTTACAACGATGCTCGACGACGCTCCCTAAATTAAAAAAGAAGAATTGATTAATGGCAACATTAATTAACCAAAGTCTATGAAAATATTTTCACACATCACAGTGTATTTTCATGAATCAAATTGTTGTCACAGGATTTGGTACTTTGTAAAATAAATAATTGAAAGTTGTTAATACAATGTTACAAAACCATAGAAGTCTAAACTTCTGAGAAGCTGTTAAAATTGCATTATACAAAATAAAAATAAAATAAATTATCTTCAAAATAAAGCAACTACCCAGAATACAACACAATGCATAATAAACCGTTTTAGAACTTTTTTATTATCAATGTATATGATGTATTAAGGTGCATGATATTTTGAGATGTGCCAGACAATGATGGCCTATCATCAAAATGAATGAATGCACAAACTCTAAGAAGCAAATGATATGTGTTTGGCAACCTTTTTTCCTCGGCGGTGTGGCGCATCGTGCTAAGCGTTAGGAATACGCTCGCCACCGCATCTCTGATTACCTTTCGTGGGTTCGCAGGTTCGAATCCCATGCGGGCATGTGCGAGAGGATTGCTGGACTCCTCACCGCCGTGGGTGGTTCACATAACCGCTGGTCGGTTACGGCTTCCTCCACCATCAAGTCCATGCTTCCGAAAACAAATAACTGGCTAACTAATCCCATACCCGACCTGGACTGGTAACCGGACGAGAGGCCGTGGTTCGCCATATGGTTAAGCCGTCTTATTGGCTTTCCTCTCCCCCAGAATAAATATGTAAATCCTATCCTGTCTATATTATCTCATTCCAAATAAGTGACTGGCTACTTACCGGCATAGTTTGACTTCCATGCAGAGATTCAATGGCAGCTTTGGCAGCAGCATTGGATGACAGTTTCACAAATGAACAACCTTTGCTTTGTCCATCAGGAGTTCTGTGAGAATATGGGATAAAATAATAACATACAATCCATTCATATATATATTCGTGTACCAGAAAAACAGAAAAGACTCATTTTTCATTCAAGTTTGCTTATAGCAAATGAGTACTAATAATAGAGTTTCGAACGGCACTAAACCCTAAGAGTTATGTCTTTCTTTGTGCACAGATGTCAGTCATTAATATAGCATAGATTTGGAATAAAGAGATAAATTATAATCAAGACTTGGACACTTTTCTCTGTATTTTTGTTACTTAACTATATGGAATAACATAATGGCTCCATTTGCACAATTCATCAAAAGCATTCATTCAAATTCAGCAAGCATTTTTGGTTACCTGAGAATAGTGCATTCCTCGATGTGACCAAACTTTTCAAATATTTTTCTGACATCATCTTCAGTTTGTCGCTTACCGAGCATTCCAACAAAAAGTTTTCTGTCTTCTGCAAATATAAAATAAAGATTTGTTTATAAAAATATTTTTTTAAACACCAAATCCACTAAAAACCATGATTGTATTACAGATACACAATTCTGGGCGCTCTGAAAGTATTCATACCAAGATGACGCACAACCTGAACAACCCTAACCTGGTACACATACTATGTTCAGGTTGTGCGTCATCTTGGTACGAATACTTCGGAAGCACCCAAATCCCAGACTCACATCCACCCAATGTGTCATGGATTGGGTCTACAATGCTGAAACAGAAAAATACCGGTACCTTCAAATAAACTTATTTCTTTACATGGCAGTGGATTTGTATTGAATGGAAGGCATGATGAATAATGCTTTTATAAAAAAAATATGAATAACATAATCTGTTTCCATGAAAAGTTTATTTATGAGCTTTCGTTAGCTAGCATCTTTCGAGCTAGCATCCTTGCGGTGACTGACACATACGGATTCGCAATAGAAAGTAAACAAGGAGAATAAACTTGCAGTTTAGTACACCCCATAAAAAATAGTTGATACTAATACAGTATGGTAACAATACATAATATGATCTTTCAAAATGTCTTGCATCATTTAATTCTTGTTATTAATAGGACAGGGTGTTCACTTTGTCCAGAAAGAGAGAGGAAAGTCAATAAGACAGCTCATCCAGTGACAAGCCATGGCTTTTTATGCAGTTACAGGTCTAGCTCAAACACAGGAATATATAACCAGTCACTTGAATGTAAAAAAGATTCATCTTATCTGTTTGAGTAAACTTCATGCTCCAAAAAGGGACCTCCTGAAGTATATGCACCAAGATGGCGCACAACCTGAATTCAGGTTGTGTACAAGGTTAGGGTTCAGGTTGTGTGCCATCTTGGTGCGTATTAGTATTGATTTTGAATAAGATGCAATTACAATTCCCAGAAGCATAATTGAGATGGAAAATCAGCTGACATGCAAATTACCGCCATCAGTTTACATCAAAGAATAAAATGCTAAAAAATATATTGAAAATTGGGGCTGCTTTACAGTAAGTACAGTACACATCGCGTACAACAGGCACCCTCGTTAAATTGGCTCAGAATGAATATGGGGAGGATTACAAAAACGGGAAGGAATGACGTATAAAGTAGTATAGTATAGTATAAAGTAAACGTTATCGTAAAGTAGGCTTAAAATCTGCTTTGATAGGACTCATTGTTGGGTCTTTTGTATAGGGCCCCACCAAAAAATACACCCCCCTAAACTCAAATTTTCAAATCATTGTTAACTAGAAACATAACTGGAAAATTACTTATTTATTATTTCAAAGCGTGATGGCGTGATTGTTGGGTCTTTTGTCAAGAGCCCCCACCAAAAAATACACCCCCAAATTCAAATTTTAAATTCATTTTTTAGGCCGAACCTTAACTGGATAATTACTTTTTTCTTATTTCAAAACGTGACGGATGGCTGTTTTTTTTCTCAAATCTCACATATGAGGCTCTGTGGCTGCTTGTATTGGTAAATTGTTGGAGCTGCTGAAGTATGTGCACCAAGACGTCGCACAACCTGAATATAGTAGGTGTACCAGGTTGGGGTTCAGGTTGTGCACCAAGATCTTCGGGAGCGCCAAATTGGGAGATCCCGAAGTATATTTAGATAAAAATTGCAAGGTACAAACAAAAATGCCTTTACCTCCTTTATTCACAGTGTCAGCAGGCTTTACTTGCATGGGGTGGTTCATCTAAAAAATAAGGACGAGATTGAGTGATAAATTCACAATACAAACATAAGGATAGGATAGGATTTACATATTTATCCCGGAGGAGAGGAAAGCCGATAAGACGGCTTAATCATATGGCGAACCACGGCCTCTCGTCCGGTTGCCATTCCATGTCGGGGATGCGATTAGTTAGCCAGTAATTTGTTTTCGGAAGCATGGACTTGATGGTGGAGGAAGTCGTAACCGACCAGCGGTTACGTGAACCACCCTACGACGGCGAGGAGTCCAGCAATCCTCTTGCACATGATCATCCCCGCATGGGATTCGAACCTGCACGATGCGGAGCCAAAGAAAACAAGATACTGATTACTGAAAACAAATTACTGATCTTAAGTCTAACTCACCGTTTCCATTATCTTTGTGGAAGTGAGAAATTTATTTTTGATCGACTAATTTTTATTTAAATTACTATAGTCGAAAATAATGTTTTTTTACCAATTAATACCATCTTTTCTATTAAAATCTGGCTTAATCAAAGTTGCGAGCACTTGTCAGACTAATATAATAGTGGTAAAATGAATCTTAGGCTACCAGTGTCTTAATAATAGATACACGAAGACGCTTTTGTCGCTATATAACCCTCTATCCAACAGTTTATTTAAATGTCTGCTTATAAAGAGCCTTGCACAGAGTAAAACTGAAAAACAAAATTATATCTTTCAAAAACTGAAGGCGTTCCCGAAGTATGTGCACCAAGATGGCGCACAACTGGAACCCTAACCTGGTACACATACTATGTTCAGGTTGTGCGCCATCTTGGTGCCAATATTTCTGGAGGTTCAAACCGAATATATTCAATAGGAGAAATCCGAAAATATTCAGTTCACTATATTTCAATTATATTTAAATAGCTGCTTATAAAGAGCCTTGTGTAGAGCTAAACTGATATATTCCTTATAACACAGGTATTTATATTCTAAATGAATTTAATAGAAGAACTCTAAAAAATACCAAAACTATGGCCATAGTATCTTTCTATGAGCATAAAGAGCTGCCGAGCCATTATACCAAGCCTTGTGCAGAGTTAATAAAGATTTAACACAATAGAGATTCATATTCACACATATAAATTTTTTCTGAAAAACTCTAAAAAGCTACTAAACAACACTAGCCAACTTATTCACCAACTCCTAACTGTCCTACAATCTAGAATCGATCATTATGCAGGGCGGGTATCAGCACGCAAAGTATAAGTACTCTTCCCTACTGAAATATTCATCATGGCTTGAATACAACATGAGAAAGCTCTTACAGGACCAAACAATATGTAAAAGAAAACTGAAATTTCTTGAATAAAAAGGCAAGTAATTTGAAATCGATGCATTCAAATTACGTCTGGTTACCATGGTGATAGGGCATTGCCATAGTAAAGGTCCGAATATTAATGAGACGTGGCAGATGGCAAATGCGCTAAAGGATGTCGAAATTGACGGCTATTTAAACTCAAACTTTAATATTTAATACCAAAATAAGATTATAACTGATATAGGACATGGTGGCCTACTTTTAGTCTGTCGTTAAGACAGCTGATTTTTGCTTTAATGAGTTTTAAATTCGGTATATTTCCAGAACGTTAGCGAGGGGCCATTTATATAGGTGAGCGTCTGCTTTTTGTAGTTCACTTCGTACTAACTGACATGTCATGTCAATATGTTGCTAAATTAAAACTGTATTTATATTTTAGTGCGTGCTCCCTAAAACTCTTCTATTTCAACTTTTCGTTGATGAATAGGGCTTCGACCAAACTTGTATTTAAAGAGTATATTATTTTTAAAAAATTTAAGATTTTACTCCAGCGTTGCTAGATGTATTATTTATTATGTGTGAGAGAACTCCTAGTCGCCGTAAGGTGGTTCACATAACCGCTGGTCGATTACGGCCTCTGTCCCCATCACGAATGGAATTCCTATCCTTCTTCTATACAAATTGAAACTGTCTACTCACCCCGGGCAAAGTCTTCTGTTCATGAAGAAAATTCTGTGCTTTGATAGCTGAAGATTTCTGGCAGTAAGTGAGGAACGCACATCCTGAAATAAAATTAAGTCATTGTTAGTTGAGATTCATTTTAAATAAAAAGAAGAATATCAGGAGTATTTTAAAATGATTTTTTTGCGGGAATTTGTTCAGAGCAAGATCATGCGCACTCACTTAGAAGTGAAGAGGATTGATTTAAATGTTGAATGTATGTTCGAATACTATCATATTCACAATACCACAATTTTCGATATTATACTGTTATTAGAATTACTTATTTTTCGATGTTTTCTTTCATTCTATTATCTCAGTTTAGAATAAGATAGGTTATAGGAAAATAGAAATAACATCTCGATATCCATTTTCCTAGTCATAGGCCCTCACTCCAAAACAAAAACACTTCCAATAAATTAAATGTTTTCAAAAACGCAAGACAGAAAAATAGGCAGTTGATTGTCAGGTGGAAACCGTCCAATACCGAAAGCATGAATATTTTATGTTCTCGGAAAGCGTCGCAATTAATGTGGGCCGTAAAACGCTGGCAATCGGGAAATGTAAAATTATCGTCTCGGCATTTTTGAAGGACGCTCGATTTTGTGGTTTATGTTAATCATGTTTAGCCCACACTAAGACTGATGATAACACAAATTTGGCTATTGTGGAAAAATTTATCGATTTTATTTTCCAAAACACGGCTCTGTAGCGACATCTCCCGTACGATCAAAAATATGAACACTGAATTATCTCTCGATTACTAAATTATCTCTCTGTCTGAAGAAGTCTGATGTGAGGCGAATCGTTGCAGAAATATAATGTATATTTGTGTTAATGTGGGACAAGACTATTAAATCATAAATGTTATATTTAGCCTTTAAAAATTTTATAATTTGTTACCAAATACACGGAATACATGTACACATATTTACATTACTCGTATATTTGAAATAACCACTTTCTGTTTCGAGTTAGCGGCCTAAGCCTACGGAACACTTTACATATTTGTTACGTCACAGAAGTGCTTTCGTCGCTGTGGATGACACGATTCGTCTTTGTTCGCTAATGGTTGTCGTGTCCTTTTATTAGGTTAATAACGCTTATTTGAAAATGTGGCAACGCCTAATTTAGCATAAGGGCTTCTGTAAGTGATTAATAGAATTGTTAATAAATAGAGTGATAAGTTGTTACGTGACTTGGGTTCACTGCTCGATTACCAGCTTTGGTTCCTCGCGGCTTACCTGCCTCAGTAAAATTGTGTTAATATCTTTTTTCTCCGTATTTTGGGGCATTTTTTTACTGGTCCGAAAATAAATGCACTTCACTTAGGGGGAGGTTAAATATTCACATGTACAGGGTCTTTTTAGAAGTCAAGGCGTGAAAATGTGAATAAAAACACATTAACTAGTGATTTGGCACTCACATTGTATAATGCTCAATTTTGACTGTGATAAGAGATAAAACGCCACCGAAAAGGAGTCAGATTTAGCGTTTTAATAACGGGCTTCTAGTTATATTTCTCTCGAGTATACTAGCGACCACCCAATACGTTTGAGCGGTCAAAATCATACTAAACAAAATTTCGGCTGGTGTTCTGCAACTAAATATATTACAAAGAAAGAAATTTTACTGAATTTTTTTTCCAAATAGCGTGGGGTTTGAAAATCTGATCAGACCACCCTGAACTGAGAAGATTCCTGCATTTTCACAGCTTTCTACTTTACGTTTTACTAGTCTAGAGCCTTCTTAGAAGCTCAAAGACGTAAAGCTTCGTAAAAAATGATAGTAATGTTTGTCGACTGTTGATAAGTTTTAATATCACAATTCCGAAAAGTGAGAATTATGGTTTTTCTAATGACGCTTCTGTGCCAAAGGGAGCAGTTGGACGGGGGGCACAATACTAAGGTTATTTCACAGGGTGTTTTCACTTTGTTGGGCATGAATTGTTCGAACCTAATGAGATATCTTTCAAAATAACACTATAAATACCATTGGGATGATAAACAGAAAGCGGGTGAGTGCTAAAAGCCCCCGGTAGCGAGCCACGGTGAAAGGTTGGGAACCAGTGCTCTAGAGTAGACGAGGGGCAACTGAAATGTGATACGTATATTTTTAAAGAATTATGAACACTGAAAAATGCAGTAATGTAATGTGAATCTTGCACAAGATCTTTTCCCACTTATCTGTAATACGTGTGGCGTCTAACCCAGGGGTGTGCAAACTGCGGCCCGCGGGACAAATGCGGCCCGCGGGACAAATGCGGCCCGCAAGAAAAATTTGTGCGGCCCGCGGAGAAATAACAACTTTGAATGGTGTGCCCGTGAAACGAGCATTTAGTTTAGGACTTTAGGTAATCTGGTGCGTGCGAGAAATTCTAATCCTTCTGCGCCACAAAGCCTATACCAGTGCCTGAGTGCCACTGACGTATTAGCAAAACTAGCTAGCAAAGATCTGTTGCAAAATATACAAAATATATTACAAAAACGTGTTTCTAACTGACTTGGATTAAAGTCGGTGTGGCGATAAATTTAAATAGCAGTTTCTTCAGAAGTTTATGCGTTTAACTCACTATTTCTGCAAGAAACCCTAATAATGCCATAAGGTGACTAGAAAATATAAACAATTTTTATGCTTGTAACTACTAGAAAGTCTATATTAAATAAAGGTGCGGCCCGCGGTTTCACTCAGTTTCTTGAATTTGGCCCGCCAGTGAAAAAGGTTGCACACCCCTGGCCTAACCATAAGGACATCGCACCCAATAAATTTTAATTTTACGGGATTTTTATTGATCAAGACTAAAATTACCGGTATTGACTGATTTTAACCTTTTTATGACATATTTATTTGAATAATTATTATCATACGTGTGATTTGTTTCCACACAATCGTTTGGCTAACGTCACAAAGCACCATCTGTTCATTAAATCGATCGAAACGTAAAGGATTATCGAACGAATTGTGACGGAATAATGCCAACATTAAAAAGAGCGCCATCTGTTCCAGAACGAAACAATAATTGCAAAATTTTGAACAATATGCATGGCCATAGAAAAGTCATTGATAAAACCGTATCTTGAATCCTACCATACATGGCTTGGCCTAAAATGGCGACTTCAATTAAAAATTATGCTCTGCCAAAGATAAGCCGTATATAATTTAGAAAGAGGTATTTAAAATCGAACATATGTCACGGCAAGGAACCAAGAATATTAAAACATTGTGGGTGATGGCAGATACAACAGAAAAATTGATTTTTATGATTAAACACGAAATTCTGACGGGAAATATTTATAAGTAATACCAAAATATGTAATCTTCGCGAAAAGTCAAGCCGTATATGCAATAAAGCCAGCGTTTCGAATGCTTATTGAGAAAATCAGGGCAAAGAATAATAAATATAAAAGTCCCTTTAGATATATACAACTATATAGGTTGCAGTGATACACAAAAAAGCTCTATAAATCCAACAATGCATGTACATTTTTTTGTCAAACGGTTTTTGTCCGTATATCAAACGATCATACATTACGTTCATTTCCACTAAACAAATTAAATTTCCTTTAACAAGTTTATTACGCGGTTAAATTGAAAATTTCCAACGAAATTGTCGGGTCTTGAAATCTTTTCCATTTTACTATTTGGGCCTAATTTGCTGACTCCCGATTTACACCAAGCCTATAGAAGTGCAGCCCCACTGCAGAGGCCTAACCTAGGCGTCCTAGATAGCTGGTTAAACAACCTATCGACGCATTTCCTCGTCCAATTGTATAATAATCTTCTAAATTGACAACATTCGAACGTTTTAACTCAGTCAGAGACAATTTTTCAGGAAAAAAATCGATATTTTTTGGAAAATCAATTCGACGACCTCACTCTAAACATAATTAACGGCAGTGTTTTCGTTGGAATTAGATTTGTGTGAAAAACAATCGATTTTTCTTTGCAATCTAATAAATTTCCCCTTTCTGTTATTTATTAACGTAAAAATACCTTTTGAACCCACAAATTTTAGTCATACTAAGAAAGAATAATAAAAATAACGACTTCAAATTATTTTGATGAATTACTATATAGAGTTCCTTTGAACAAGACCTTTTGAACAGCTTTTTTTTTTTATCCAAAATCGCCCCCACCCCGTCCAAAAAAAATGAAAAGTGCAATCACAAAAAAAATAAGCAATGTTCGAAAGTACCCCTCAGACAAGTCAAATAAATTGATATAATATAATAATTCAATTAAAAAATCCTGCTAAGTGTGGATAGAGTTAATTTTCGCCTGGATGAAAATTTTCGTTGAAGTGTCAATTTCCCTATTAGCTTTCAGCCAATAACGTACATACACATCGTCGTTCGTGAGCGGTAGTGGGCGTGGCTTTTTGTCCTTTCCAACCATTGGCGTGGCATGCACCATTATCGCGCGGAAGAGAAAAAATATACAATACTAATCAGCGGCGATAATTGGTGACTCCTTTGCATGAGAAAGTTGGCAATTTTAATTGAAGCCACACAAGTTGCTTAATTTGTCTTTTATCTCGTGATGAACGCGAAAGACCAATAGTTAGAACAATGGAACCCAACCTTTTATGGTTCGTGGGGCATCGTAGCCCCCGTTCCGAAGGCTTTCAGCACTCATTGCCCCCTGTTTATCATTCCATTGGTATTTTATAGTGCTAATTTGATTGATGTATTCCAATTACCGTATATGCTCGTTTTACCGCCCGATCTTAATTCAGGGCCCGTTTGAACAGAACATAAGAATAAATAGGGGCCGGTGCTTGAATACCCGCCTGATGTAAAAGCTGATTTTTCAGGGGTAGAGAACAATAGGACATAAGAAGCCGTTTTGTCACAACGCTGTTGAATTTTAAGCGCTGGTAGATAACACTCACGCCTTTGGCGTCCAAAAGTCAAAATGTTCGTTATTCTCGTTTAAATCATACTTGAGAACTGGAAATAACAAAATATTAATTATTGTAACGATCGAAAATAACAAGCGCCCGTGCTTGAATAAGGGCCGGTTTGAATAAGGGCCCGGTTAGTGAGTTGGTTGAAAAAAATATGGGCCCGGGCTACAAAACGAGCAAATACGGTATGTTTAAACAATTCATGCTCAACAAAGTGAAAATATTCCGTGAAATAACCTTATCAATATATGAAACAAGAAAGAACGGGGCATTTTCTTGTAAATAAAGAAGTAAAATCAGTTTTGCGACAAGGCCATACCTAATCAAACGTCGTTTTAAGGAATATACAGTAGATGGGCCTTATGCAAATCGAACACTATTTGAAAAAATAAAACAAGCGCTATTTGTGTTTTCTGTTTTAGAGGTATTAATTCATCACAGTAAATATGCGTTTTACGAATTGTATCTGCGGAAGTATAATTTGCAACAGCCAATCATCATTCGCTTCCGGTAATTTGTCATAAATGCTTCTTTATTACGTGTATAATTCACGACGAGAAAATATAATTACAGCCTTATCTGTCGCTCTTGTCTTGTTAGTTTTTTGTTTTGTTTGTCAATACAAGAAACTCAATGTTGTCTGACTGTTCTACAACAAAAGTTTGTTTTTGTGTATTTTACCACCCCTACCAAGCGACAAAGTGTGTGAATGAAGCAAAAATACTTAAACAATTACTGAGTGAAAAGCAACAAACCTGGTTAAGATATATTGAGAACTGACTTCATAACAAAATTGAAATTGTAAAGGGACTTCATGGCCATTCTGTATAGCTTCTCGCATATACAAAACTGCTTGTCTCGAGCCTTGTATTGGGTGAAAGACGAAAATCAATTGTCCGCGCAATTGTGTTGCCGATATAATTATTCTAATTTGCAACCCTAATCCTACCGTAATTATAAAACCAAGTTTCATTACGTAAAATAATATTCTTTCAAGGGATGACACTTCAAATATAATCAATGCAACGTGTAAACACAATTATACGAAACTACGATCATTAAATCCTTTACAATGTCAAGAGAGCGATCGACGACTAAATTGGCTTTGCCTACTTCACTCGAATTCAGATAGATTCTGATTTAACTTTACGTTGGGTTGCGCGACATCCGTATGCGTATACTGCAAGGGTGCTATAGCAGGAAAAAACTATTCTATCCAATTAAAGAGCCTTGCTGCACACTAACACAAATGTATTTCTGTAACGTTTCGTCTGACAACGGTCAGACTTCCTCAGACAAACAGTTCACAACAATCACTTCTGATCATAGATTCTGATTGGACATAGTGTTGGGGTTTTATTTATTAAAAAGCGGACCTTTTCCTGGTTTGTGTTCATTGCAATAAGCCACTCTGCGCAAACCTGCATTTCACCTTGATTCTGTATGTGCTCTATGCGATTGGAAAGAGTTTATTAATAATTATTTAATATATCTCACCCAATACCGTTCGTTCTATATGACTAATGGCGCTATGTTTTTCGCACAGGTTATTCAATTTCATATATTGTTACGAACACATAAAAATTGTCTTCAGCTTTGTGCGGCGGATTAGAAAATAAAACTGAAATTAGTATCTCAAACAATTTATAGTCAAATATGAGAGGCGAGGTTACAAAATGGCGATCTTTTGTATAAAGCCCCTGCCACTGATACAAAAATGTGAGATTAGAGGAAAACATCCCCGCCACGTTTTGAAATAACAAACAAGTAATTACCTAGTTGGGAATGGGGTTAGAAATGAGTTGACCATTCGAATTTTCAAAAGCCTCACTGAATAAGTACTGATTTTCTTACTTTGACCGTTGGCGAGGGTGTTTTTTGACAGGGGCATTGTACAAAAGATCCCGGGATGGAAAGACTATTTAAAACGCAGCTTCCTATCGGGTCATTTCCATATATTGCAATATATTATCGGGTTAGGCAGAATCGGATTAATATCGTCACGAGCTATTGATTAAAAGTATAATAGGCATAATCGCGTGATTAGTCAAGCGTGGCCGATTATATTTGTGAAAGCGAAAGTGATATACAGCTGTTATTGACAGAAAAATTATTGTATTTTCGTTGTGTATCGAAACACTCGCTCAGGATATACTGTCACTAACATGTAAAGATCAATGCATTTTGAAAAGACCGTATTCATTACTGATTCGGCATTTCCTGCCAATTTTAACGGGCGCTACCGATAAGTAATAATTTTAGGGTGTATATACAGGTTGGTCGCTATAGAAAAACAGAAAATTTGTCAGAAATGATTTGGGAAGAGCTTGGAACGATATCCCACAGGTTAACCTTCGAAGCGCCATACGAGCTTGGACTTCTAGGTTAAGATATGTTCTCAAGTGCACGGACCACATTTTGAGCATCTTTGAGTGTAATATAACATATGCCTTTAAAAAACTTTGACAAAATAAATAGTTGTTTGACGAATTTTCTGTTTTTCTAGCGACCGTATATACATCCATTGCCGGGCGAGGCCATTTATAACCCACACGGGTCCTTGAATAGTCTTTATTTCAATGCGGAACGAACTTTTTAAGCGATTTTTAGAACGACAAGAGGGCTGGATGCTTCCACTTTACCAGATGCTTTACAATATATGAGTGTCCTTCATTACCGCGCGTGAGCGTTGAAATGCGCGGACTCCTGATTACCTTTAGGATATTCTACTGATTCACAAATGTATATACTGAACGAAATATATCTGGTTAGTATGAAAACGCTAAATGCAAATATTTTCTCATGCGACACATCCCACTAAAGGCGGGAAGTGCCAAACTTTTCTGCTGCCCAGAGCGAGTTTCTGATAATGATGCCACTTATATCTAACTTCAATTTGTTTATCCCCCAAATTATGGATGTTGTTATACATGAGAATAAATAAATTGAAGGTCAAGTAATATTGAAATGTCTGTAATAGCAACATAGCAATTTTTCGTAGCTTGAAACGTTCTTTGACCCCATGAATCTTGGAAACCTACTTATTGCATGGTATACTTATTGCATTGCTTGGAAACCTACATGGTACACATTTGAATTAACTTAGCAATTTATATTACACATTACATGTTGGATAAAAATTTCGAAAAATTCAATTTTAGTGTTAATATGAAGATTTTAAATTTATTTATTCGAGTGGGAACACGGATCTTGTCGCAGGATGCAGCGTACATATTATAATGACACTCAATATAGCCTATATTACGTTGTTGTTAATATTTTGAATTGACACTCATGGCTTCTAAGATTCACGGCCGAAATACGAACATAGTGGCCAAACGCGATTGATTTTTATTAAATATTTATTTAGACAATGTTATGTCATTTCCTAGTGTTGTTTATTCTCTTCTCACCAACACACATACACATAAAAAAAAGTTTAAAGACGATCTTGCAAGTACCCACTATGTGCTAATTATCACATACCTTTATGCATTCCTGTGTATTTATCGTGCAGAACAGACAGTTCGTAAATTTCTCCGTACGGCTCAAAAATTGGTCTCAAATCGCTTTCCGTCCAGTGTTTAGGAACTTGACCAATAAAAAGCTTGACAGCGTCATCGTCCTTGTCTGGCAATTCTAAAATGACGTAACTCGTGACGTAATTCATGACGTAATCGTTAAAATTCGAATAAATGTAATTGAATTTACCATGCATGCTGATATTCGATGGAGTTCCACAGATTGATGGACGAGATTGTGACGTAACAATGTGTTGTGAACATGGCGGTTGTGGCGGAATAAAACCTGAAATTTAAATAACAACAAATATTTTAAACCATTGTCTTGAAGAATATGATACGTGCCAAAAGCGCGTCACATTTTAGGTATTATTTGCTTTTTAGCGCTCAGACCGGCTTTGATATAGGATTACTGAAATATGAGCGAAAAAGAGGTGAATTCAGGCAGATTTTTTTAAATTTTGTATATATATTTAAAACAACGTAACGAAGTATACATGCAAAAAGCGAGTCAAATTTTCATATTGCTGGATTTTCAATACTTGAAATACTTTTTTGATAATGATTTGCCAGTTTAAATCCCAGGTATTGGGTATAAACGGAGAGTCGGTCACATTAAAATTCTATGTCTGAAAATTAGTTCAAGTCGGGAGCAGTGAAAAGTTCATTTACGACTAAATTGTCTGGCGCATTCGTCGCAATTTGTGAGTATATATATGGTTTTATTGTACAATTTTTGACTCCTAGATACCCTGTCAATCACCAATTTTCACAACATTAAATCCCTAGTGCAAAGGGCAACATCTTCATTAAAAATTCATCAGTTTTTGCCCATAATGGTAAATTATTTTCGTTGGAAATCTGAAGCCGGGAATGATAATTATCCAATCCTGCATTATTAATGTCCTACGGGAATTTGGGCTGCCAAACGCGCACTTAAAAACTGCCTTTCCAAGCGAAATTAATGAAAAATTCCGCGAATTTGGTTATCAAGTCCAAATCGAGCGAAAATTGATGTTTAACCCCGACAATGAATCAGGCATATGCTCTTAGTATATTAGTATTTGCAGATTCATCATATACATCAAATTTACGCAATTGGGAAATGGGAACACGGAATAAAAATCAGGATATGGGTGTCACTGTTAGGTTTCAACGAAGCTAATTCAAACGAAACTCGAAAGAATCCACATATTCGAAAAAGCCAAGTCTGAAAATTAAAATTTCAATTTTTTTTTTGCGAGATTTACTGTGCAGAGGAATCTACACGGGGTTTGAAAGTCGAATTTAACTGCAAACAATAATTCTAGAATATGTATTTCATCTCTTTTATCATCTAATATTTCTTTTAATTAAGAGGTTTAAAATTTACCATGAAACCATCAGTTTTTTTTACATTTGCGAGCGACTCAAACATAACCAAAGGTAGCTGCTCTTTATGGCAGCCAAATAGCACAACATGGGGTACGCTATTCAAATGGTGATTGTGACAATATATATATCCCTATTCCTAACCTGCTGTCTATACTATAGGGAAGCCAAATAGTAGTATTTCTAACTGCTCTTTATACTAGCATCAATTAAAAAAGTCCTTACCATTAAGTTGCATTACAGGAGACTCCATTGGCAAATGACTTGTATTTGTGGCAACGGGGATTACATTGTTGACAACTTGAAATCCAAAAGGATTGGCAGGGTTGCCACATCCTCTAATTCCTCCCGCAGAAGGAAGAGTGTGCTGTAAGACTTGTGTAGCTCCATGCATTGCCATAACCATCTTGTCTTCAATTCAAACACAAAAACACGAACGTAAACTTCACAGTGTAGTAAATACAATAATGATCTCAAATATATATTTTACGTGAGATTAAACTTAAATCTGAAAATGCAAAAATTGATTTCTTAAAGCAGGGGTTTCCGGGTATATTCATAGCAAGACACACACAACCGGTAACAGTAAACAATATAAGTTTGAATGTAGCAATTCGGTTGTAATTTGACCCTTTATTCCGAGCGATTGTGTTCCTATATATGAAGATCAAATAAAACATATCCAAGTTTAGCCAATGATTCGAATGTCTATACAGGCCACCAAAAACCTCCCCAAAACAAAGAAGACTTGTGAAAAAACTCCTGAGATGTAAGTTGCCGATCGCTGGTCTATACAGACTCCATCAGAGTATTCGAAGTGAAACATGTACAACTGGTAAAAAGTAAGAGTTCTCCAACGTTCGGAATGTCTATAAAAAAGCATTTCATCGGGATAATGTCGACCGAAATACTATAAAATGTAAAGATCTCGCTTTGGCTTAATATTCATATCTCGGTACCTACACTGTATACATCGCAATATATTCGTCACAATAGGCCTACATTACCCACACTACATACAATACAGCATAAGCATAAAACGCAGCACCTATACTCACAACAACCGTTATCACAATATAATAAATACAATAAAGAATGCCCTTGAAGAATTTGAAGTTATGCGTATGCCAAGACTGCGTGCACCACACAATATATTTAGTGTGAAAGAACCAAAGCAGCAGCAAAGCCCAAATAAAATAAAAAGACGGAAAAAAGTGATTGGAAGCATTCAGCGCCCATCAACAGTCTAAACCTAACAGCTAAGGCCACAATACAGCGCAGCACCTACTCACAACAACCGTTATTCTAATATAATAAATACACTATCGTACCACAAGAGCGTACGGGATATCGATCCTCCCAAAATTATATACGTCGACGATAGCGAGTAACAAAAAAATCTCGACCCAAATCATAACCACGCAGTATTATATTGATTACCGATACTGGGATTATCGTAGAGAAGTACTGTTGAAAAATACGTAAAATTCATTTTAAAATCGCAGTAAATTAGGTTTTTAAATGCAAGCTTGACTAGAAATGACGCTACGTGGAATTAAATCATATTATATATAAGCCAAGCTTGATACTGCATTAGTGTCTGATATTACTAAATGCAGTAGTGACAAGAATTATAGCAAAATTCAGAAATATTTGACGAATTTGTTAACAGCGTAATTCTAATTAGAAATATAAAGAATTAAAATTCATAGGCAGATGCCGAAGCGTGCTTCCAATCGATTATAACTCGTATTGAAATATGGTTCGTTTGGAGAATAAATATGTATCGGTGTACTCTTGGTATTGCGCCACTATGCTATATGTGAGGCGAAACTGAAAGAATCTATAGCAGGGTGGTCCAAACCCAGGCCCACGGGCTACATGTGGCCCGTCGCTTCATTATCTGTGGCCCGCGTCACATTCGGAGAGTAATCAAAAATCGCATTTTGTGTTGTTTCGTAATAAAATTAATCAGAAAAAACTTTTGACATATTGTTACATCACTAATGTCACTAAATTGCCTAGTGATATGGCTAACTGAGGCAACTAGCGAAGTCGAATGAGGTGCTTGGCTAGTCTAAATTATTATCTGGCTTTCTATCTTTTTGGTCTGGAATATATGCTTACAATATAGGCATCATGGAAAACTAAAATGCAGATTCTATTAGCCTATGTCTGATAACTATGTGTTTGCACAATGAAAGTGTTTGTTTCGTATTGCACTGTTCACCTATTCTTGGCAGTTGGCACTATTGTGGCCCGCGAACAATGAAAAAATAATTTTGTGGCCCGCGGAGCCGACAACCTTGAACCAACCTGATCTATAGTTATTATCCCACCTAGCGTAGCCAGGGATTTTTAGGAACAGGGGGGCTGAAACTTGTAATTGCCGATTTAGACCGTAACAGCTAGCGAGTCCTACCGGAGGCCGAAAATGTGGGTTTTCGAAAGTTTGAAGCGTTCAAGCTAAGAAAATTGCTGTATGAAACGGGAAAATGCTTTTTTTACATTTCAAATATTATATTCATCTACACTCAGAACATACTATGAGTCCCACTTCAAATGCTTGCTTTAACCATTTGCCTGAAGTTTCATATCCATCCTAACCCAAGTATTTTTAACGCGTGATTCTACATCTGATTTATAGTCTCTGCAGCCCTTTGCACTTCAGTGCCGCCCGAACTTCGCTTAGAGATCGGATCAATCTCCTATATTTAGTGTTTGTGACCTTGCTTTGAGCAAATTTCCCTCCTACTTCATAGGTTCACTTATAATAAGATATAAGGTTATCATTCGGGCATTTATTAGGCTCTAAATCGCGATGCAATGTTCGCTGCGGTTACAATACACATGACCTGATTATCCGCTACCATTTCCGTCTTACAATTTGAGCCTTCATATTAGATAATACGTGCTTATATAGGTTCCTCACAGCGACGGCCTAGCTTTGACAAGTATGCTTACTGAATAATAATATTATTAGGAAATAATGACATATTTTATTACCGCATATACAACAGAGTAAGACAAAAAAAACAGACCGCAAAAATTTTCGATTACTTCTAGAAAATTTATTTAACACTTGAACTTCTAATTGTGTATGATTGTACCCAAAAGTTTCTGTAATCTAAGACGCTTTGCACAACAAATTATGTTCTCTCTAGATTCTGGAAAAAGTTCCAAATTACCTGTGCGCTTGGGCATAGTAAATAAATTCAGGCAATAAACGACCTAGGTTTTTAACGACTATAAAGATACGGCATTGACTGATAATACACATTTTGTGAAGCCGTCTAAAAAAACAGACCTACTGCCTAAACAGCATAGCACTAGCCTTCTACGGGAGAGTTCATCAAATTGTGATTGTGGTGTCACTTTCTTCAAATTTAACATCTTGTTACGAAACAAAATGTACAACAGAAGCATCGAAAATGTATAGGTCCTCGGACGAAAATCGCAAGCCGACTGACCGACTTCCAATTATTATGAGGTCCTTCTGAATTCATACCCTCCAGATTCGATATTTAGAAATACGTAACCGTGCACCAATATTCTTATAGCGAATGATCCGCAAACATAAGCATTTAAGATAGTTAGCTAGTCACTAAGCAGAAATTGCAATTCCACCTCATATCTTAACTAAATAATTTCTAACAATACGTACACCGAAGATGCATAAACCGAATCCTATTTTATGGTCCTTTTGGATACCAACCCTCCGGATTCGATATTCAAAATTACCCAAAACGCCTATAGCGTTAGACGAATGGACACTGACATAAGCATTGAAGATAGTCAGTTGGTTACCAAGCAGAAATTACAACCCCAACCTCATACCTTAGCTAAATAACTTCTAAAAATACGTAAACCGTCTCCCGCTGCCAAAAAGGCACAAACCGAATCCTAATTGGGTCCTTTTGGATTCAAACCCTCGAGATTCGATATTATAAATTACCAAAAACGCCTATAGCGTTAGACGAATGGACACTGACATAAGCATTGAAGATAAATAGTTACTAAGCAGAAATTACAACTTACAACCCCACCTCATAACCTAACTAGGTAAAAAACTACTAAAAATACGTACATATACGCATAGTGCTAAAAGGGCATAAACCGAATCCTGTTCTAGGGTCCTTCTAGATTCAAACCTTCAAAATTCGATTTTTTGAATTGCCCAACCATACACACAAAACTTACAGCTTTTTCTGGCATGCTCCTGCTTCGCTTACTCTGATTAATCAACACGAGCTTCTGCCTCCTTTCAACTGCCTAAGTATGAAATTTGACGCCATCTTCTGAACTGCTATTTCCGCTTGCACGACTGCTGAGCGTCTTGTGCCGTATTGTGAATATTCTGTTATAAGAACTTATTGTAACCGTTACATTATTTTCTCGCATTTGCCCCAGCAGCCTGTTGCCGGGAAAACTATTTGCGGGAATAGCTTATTTATGCGCTGAACAGGTATTTGTTATGGCAGTATATTGCCGAGAAAGCTATTTGTGCGGATAACTGATTTTATACACCAAAAAAGATATTTTTGCGAAAGTGCGTTGCCTTAAATAGCATTTACGCGAATAATTGATTTTATATTTTTCGCAGCAGTTCGTTACAGAGAAAATCATTTGTGCGAATATCTGTTTTAAGCACATAGAAAAAAAATTTCGCTGTTGTCCATTGTTAAAAAGCCTGTTTGTGCGAATAATTAATTTTATGTAATGAAAGACATACATACAAAAACAGCATACATATTATAATCCCGGTTTTGAATAGAAACTTGTAAACCCCCTGATAAAATTGTCATTGTCTCATTATTTAAATGCTGGTTACTGATAAGGTAACGATCGTCAAATTAAAAGAACAGACGTTCGTCTGCCAGATGCCACGTAGCGGTAACCATTAGCAATATGTAGATCTAAAACAAAGACGAACTACTATCGTATTATTGCGTCACTATTATTATTCGTTGGTTATGTTAAATAATGATAATATAATCTAAAGAAAGGGTGGGCAAGTTATTTATACCGTGGGCCAAACATTTTGCCCACCTAGACTGGCGAACCATGCAAGTGTGACGTAAAAATTTACATTTTATGAACAATATTTACGGTGTTACAAAAGAAAAAGCGGAAAACAATGAGCCTCGTGCCAAAAGTAAATTTAATCGCAATCTCAACAAATTTCTTGAGCTTTTTCTAAGCTGAAACATCAAAATTGGTTTCAGTTTGGTTGTCGCAGCATCAGGCGGGTCAGATTGAAAACCCCAACGGGACGAATTTGGCACGCGGGCCCTAGTTTGTCCATGTGTATTTGTTAGATCATATTCTAACTTCTCAGACAAAACAAGATATCACTTATTCAAACAGCAAATGAATTAAGTTATAGTATTTTCTTTTGAAAAAACGGCGATAAGAATGGAGATTTTAACCAGCCTAACCCTAAGATAAAGGGGTTCAATAAAAAAAAACAGCTGAGAAAGGCCTTACGTACCAACAGATGCTGTTCAGGGTATAAAGTATATATAAGT